CTGCCCCTGCGGCAGGAAGTACGTCTGGTGCTGCTGGTATTCGGCGGTCTTGGACCGGACGGTGCAGCAGTACAATCTCGTCTACCCCGGCCCCTGCTACGACTCCACCTGCGGCGACCCCAGCAGCAACGCCCCCGGAGGGCCGAGGGGCCCGTGCAGCGACTGCAAGTGGCAGATGTCTTTACCCTGCACCTTACCCTGCACGCTGTGCCTCATCAAGCGCGAGTTGACCTACCAGAAGCGGAAAGCCGCCGGGCTCGGCGCGCCGCCCGCGGCGGACGCCATCGAGGGGCGGTAGGGTCGCTCTCTCGGGGAGGGGCCGTGAGATAAGAAGATCACACACACACACAAATTACACGTTCTTGCGGTTCTTGATGGCGTCGGTCACGTGCGGATCGGCCCCGCTCGCTTTCGCAAGCGCGACGAGCTCGTCGATCTTCGTCTGGAGCGCGTCGACGGTCCGAGCCAGGTCGCTGGAGAGGTCCTGCGCGTCCTCCGTCTCCTCCTCAGCCTCGCGCTTCTCGTCTTTGACCCGGACGAGAAGGCTCGCGATTCCCGCGAGGGCCGCGATGCTGCTCGTCGTCACCTCCGTGCGCTGGCGCTTGGGCGCCGGTTCCTCCACCGTATCACCCGTGTCGACGTCAAGGACCTGCACCATATCGGGACGCCGCGCGAGCTCCGCGCGCAACGCGGCGACGATGGCTTCGTTCGCGTCGTTCGCGTCGTTCGCGTTGAGACACGATTTGAGTTTTCTTGTAACACAATGGATGGAGGAGGAGTCTTGCCGGATTGCCGCGCAAACGATCTCACTGTCTGCAATCAGATCGTCGGACGCGTACTGGAGAACCCAGCGGTTCTTGGCCGCGTAGATGTCCTGCTGCACCGCCGCGAGGACGACGTCTTTGTCGGCCTTCAGCGCGTCCGACGCGTACTCGAGGGCCCAGCCGGTCCGCTGCACCGCCGCGAGCGCGACTTCTTTGTTGGCCTTCAGCACGTCCGACGCGTACTCAAGGGCCCAGCCGCACTGCTGAACCGCCGCGAGCACGACGTCTCGATCCTTCCGCAGCGCGTCCGACGCCCACCGGAGGGCCACGCCGTTCTGCTGCACCGCCGCGAGCACGACGTCTTTGTCGCGCTGCAGTGCGTCCGACGCGTGCTCGAGGGCCATGCCGTGCTTTTGCACCGCCGCGAGCATGACCTCCGGATCGGCCTTCAACGCGTCCGACGCGAAGCCGAGCGCCCGGCCGTCCTGCTGCACCGCCGTGAACACGACCTCTTTGTCGGCCTTCAGCGCGTCCGACGCGTAGTAGAGGGCCCAGCCGCCCTGCCGCACCGCCGCGAGCACGACTTCCTTGGTCCGCAGCTTCTTTGGTACTTCTGCTAAGTACAGACCGTTCTGGCGCACCATCGCGAGGTAATCGATGTCCTCCATGTCGGGGCTGCTCAAAGACCCATGCTTCGAGAAAGATTCACCTTGCCGTACAACAGCCTTACAACAACACGTGCTTGAAGTTCACGTCGAGACCAGGCTCTCCTCCGTTCCGGCCCAAACCCCCTTCCCCCCAGGCAAAAAAACCCTCCCGTGTTAGGACCGCGCCTCGATGATCTTGCAGGAGAGCTCGAGCGTGCCCTGGACGTAGGTCTGGCCCTTGGCGCCGGGCTTGCGGCCGAGCTCGAGGGTCATGCGCCCCCAGCTGGGCCCGATGCTGGGCTTGGCGATGGGCACGGTGCACTGGCCGAGGAAGTGGCCCTTGCCCCGGCGGTGGCAGTGCCAGACCTCGAGGACGACGTCCTCGCGGTGCGGCGGGTTCGGCAATTTGTAGATCGCGTTGTACTGCGCCCAGGAGGGCTTCGTCGTCATGGCGATGCGCTCCGTCTGGCCGAACTTCTCGCCGCGGCAGAGGAGGGACACGTAGACGTAGGGGTCGCCGCTGCCCAGCAGGTGCGTGTCCACGAGGCCGCCCGCGGCGTGGACGTCGACGTAGAGCGTCTCGGGCGTCGGCTGCGCGCCGTCGTCGTCGTCGACGGCGCCCTTGCCGCGCTCGGACCGGGGCTTGCGGCTCTTGGACCGATCGGTGGTCTTGTCGCGATTCGATTTCGGCGCGCGGCCGCGGTCCTTGTCGCGCGCGGGCGTCGCGGGCTCGTCGGCGCGTCGGCCGCGTGGCGCGCGGGCGCGGCCTGCATGCCCAGCTCCTGGATCGCCGCGAACTTCTTGTCCGTGCGCGCCGCGACGTTCTCGATGAGCTTGTGCAGCGACTGCACCGACGACTCCAGGTTCTTCGTCAGCCGCGCCTCGCCGTCGACCTGGCCGTTCTCCAACTTCCGCTCCATGGCCGCGAGCTGCTCGCCCACGGAGTCCTCGACGCTGCCGTCCACCGAGAGGCAGATGGCGCGGCCCACGGGGAACCAGGTGATGTCGCTGTGCTCGATCTGCTCCCGCACGTAGAGCTCCAGCCCGTCGTCCTCGTCCTTGTCCTGCTCCCAGATGAA